AGTCGCTCGCTTACTTATAAGTTGTCATAGCTATTTTAGGCCCCTTCGTCCGTATTGTCACATTTGAATATGGACGAAGGGGCTTAAAACAGCAATGATGCATCTCGGTAAATATCAGGTCTGAAGAAGCAAGCAGCAGTTCAACAGTTTGGGGTGTATTTTGCAGGAAATCGTGCCATCATGTCGTTGCTGGAATCACAAAACATTTTCTCAGTGCTGTTGCGTGTCTTCGATGAGCATTTTAAGCAACGATTCGTTGCACCTGCTCATCTCGAAATTTGTGCATTTGCAGTAACATCATTGAGCAACCTCGCCAGACTGCGTAAGTGCAGCATCAAATTGATTATAGCGATTGATAACTTCTAAACAACTAGACAAAAAATCTTTAACGAATCGGGTTTTTTTTCGGAGTTCTAAAAGGGAAGACGGCGAGAGCTGATGCTTTTTTTGCGGTATTTGCGTTTGTGTTTTTTAATATATTGTTTGGCTGAATGTGTAATGGTTGAATGAGAGGCAAGGGTCCTTTATAAAAAACTCATTTGTCTGATTTTTTGAGGAAGTTTTCAAGTCCTATGTCTGTAGTACCAAAAAGTCGTGATCTAGGATACTATTGCCAGGGCAGGGGAAAAGATGCTATTCTTGGTTCACCAGCGCTCCAGACTGGTTCATTTAGTAACATATATTTGATGCACTTGATGCAGTTTTTGGAAATTTTCACAGGCTTTCATCTGCCCCTGCTCCAGCCTAATCAGACTGTTGTAGTATGTTAATTAAACTAAGACTTCCTTTTCGATTTATTTTCGAAGCATCGGCTGGTGTTAAGGTAAGCAAGCTATGGTAAAACAATCGCAGAACAAACTTTCGAAGTGAGAGAAGAAATGCGGGTGTTAGAGCAAATATTCTTGTAATTGCAGGGCGCCATCGTGAACATCTGGTATCGGCTGATGCGCAAAAAGTATTTCAGTCAGCGATGTTAATCATCTGCAAAGACGTGGAGTCAGTTGAAAATTTATCACCATTAACTACATCATTCGCAGTGGAATTCCAGGTAAAGGTCGTTTCTGGTTTACTGTCTTTCTGAGTGATCATTTTAATCTCACCTATCTGATAATTAATGGCTATTAGCTAAATGAATTCGTTACAAAGACCCTGGTGCGCGTGTCAGCTTCAAAAGAATTGCCCAGTAGGTCCACTGTCAGAGATGGTTTTTTTTTTCTTTTCTTATGCATCATGGATATTATTTTTGTGCGTCTTTTGCATCTATGCAGTGCAAAAATGCATACTGTCGAGGGGTTATGTCTGTGTGTTTCTCTATACCAATTTTTTATCTCGAGATCTACAAAAACTACAAGGATGAATCTTTGATGACTTAATCTACATACATGTACAGACCCCCATCCTCAAAACGAATGCTCTTGCCGGTGTGATTCCTACGTACGAACCTGTGAAAATTTTTTGTGATTTAGTTGCTAACTTGGGAAACTGAAAGGCTAGAAAACTGGAATTTTAAGAGGATGCTTCTCGTCCGCATAGAACTTAATGAGTTCAAACCTAGTCCCCCAAGTGCGCATGTTTTTGCCCGTGAAAGTTTTTTGCGGGTAAGTTGTTAATTCGGGAACGTGAAAAGTTGGGATACTAGAATTTTAAAGGAATGTCCCCTACACATGTAAAATCAGGTGACTTCAGAATTAGCCCTCATGTGTGCGTGGTTCTGCTTGTAAAAATTTTTTGCGGGTAATTTGATGTCTCACGAACTTGAGAAGCTAAAATGCGTGGATTTTATGGAGATATTTCCGCTCACATAAGACTTAAGGAATTCAAGTCCGGCCCGGGGTGGGCATGGTTCATAAAGGTCCGTGAAAATTCTTGAGGGCAAGTTGCTAACTTGGAAACTTGAGAAGCCAGAAGGCTGGAATTTTAAGGTAATGTTTCCCGTTCAAGTAGGACTTAATGAGTTCAAACCAAGCCCCCAGGTACGTTTCTTACTTACTTACCCGTGGAAGTTTTTGAGGAGTAGGTTGCTAACTGGGGGAACAGAAAAGCTAGAAACCTGAAATTTTAAAGGGATGTCTTCTGACAGTCCTGGTGGCCAGTCTCAATTTTTTTAACTGGAAGCATCTACACGGAAAAACATTGCCGTTAATTACAAAAACCTACAAGAGATTTATACAAAAAACGCTCCTTCGCACTGGCAGCCTGTGCGCTGGTCAGTTATTGTCAAAAACAATGGATATTTCCTACCGTTTTGCGAGCTTTTATCCCGTCTCTTTCTCCACTCGGACGTGTTCTGCCGGGCCTTTTACGAAATGCTTTTCTTGAGATTATTTAATGGCTACTAATGGCGAAAAGGTTGCTAGTAATACTTCTCACCCGTGTGTGCTTGACCTTACGAGTTCAACGCAGCTTGCAAAAACTCCACCCAAAAAGGTTGAGTGGCATTAGGGTTCAGTGAAAAGAAAGTTACAGCGAGCGGTGGATTGGAACAGGTTTTTTTTTTTTTGCTTTTTGTCTTATTAAACTTAGCGGAAGATGTTTTTGTTACTGTTAGGCGATTGCAGCAGGCAGCCGTAGGTAGAGGGTAGAGGAGGGGGCAGTTTAAATTGCCGAGTTTGTGTAATGGCGAAAAAGAGACACTTCTTTCACACTTTTTTGGACCGGCATTATTTTTGGTGGACGGTTGTAGTTCTCCAGATCTCTTTGTCTGGTTTTTCTGCAACAAAAGTATTGCACCTTTTGAGGCTTCTTATGCGCTTTTTGCACCTATGCAATGGGTTGTCTGTGTATGTATCTGTATGTGCATCTGTACCGATCTTTCATCTCAGGACCTACAAAGGCTAAAAGACTGAAACTCTGGAACTTAAACTATACGCATGTACGGGCCCTTTCCACAAAATGGACACTCTTACCCACATGATTCCCATGCACGAGTTTGTGAAAGTTTCTTAACGAATAAGTTGCTAGTTCGAGAATCTGAAAAGCTAGAATGCTGGAATTTTAAGAGGATGTACCCGTCCAGATCTAATGAGTTCAAGCCCAGCTCCCAACCGTGCGTAGTCGCCACGAACGGGCTCGTGAAAATTTTTGATGGGCAAGTTGCTAAGTCAAGAACCTGAGAAGTTAGAAAGTCGTAATTTTAAGGGAATGTTTTTTCACCATCGTGGCGGCCAGCACAATTCTTTTAGCTAGAGGCATCCGTCGGCAAAAACAGTTCCGTTATCGGCAAAAACCTGCGGGAAACTGTGCAAAAAACGCATCTTCGAATCGGCAGTTGGTGCGCTAGCCGTTTTATTTACTAGTGCACTCTCTCTGAGCCGGCTGATTTAGTGGAAGTCGAACTTGGAAAAATTCATTTGTGGGCGTTGCTAAAGTCATTGAACAGGACCAACATACTTCGTAGTAAAATCGAAATGCGGGCAGTTGCAATTTTACTACCTGCAGAGGTTTAATCTAATCAGTTTATAATTATACCAAATCCAGTATGACAAAGGGGGCGAGAGAGAGAGAGAAAGAGTATGGATTTAAGACTTATCCTATTTGGAAAATTCATCAGCGATATTATGGTCAGCGAACAAGAAAACACACAATTTATCCTAATTCATTTACCAAAACTAAGTTTGCCTAGACAGTCGATATAGAAAATTCAATGTTACTGATGTTACTGGGGTGCTTCCACACGCTGGTTTCTGTTACGGTAGCCCTAATGCGATACATTTGCAGTATAAAGAACCCAGTCATATTTTTACGTGAAATTAGGCAGTGTGGTATTTTTGGAATTTTATTTACAAATACACTTTCGTAAAAGTCTTAGCAAGGGCTACAACCAAGCAAGTCATAATAATGGACTGTCTTATCTGTTGGTGTTCTGGGACCATCTGACTGTTATCCTGCTAAATTCAATAACATTTGATGCTTAAGACATCTGATACGATTCCGAGTTACAGAAAAGGCTTTTTATTAGAAACTTATTAGCACTGCCGGACTGATCCTCTACTCGTCACTTTCAGTCAACATCAACTTTCGAACTCTTAAACTAACTCGTTATATAGTGTCAATAAAGATCATTTCTCACTGGTCTTCGTACATCATATCAGTTTTCTCCTACGCCTCCCCCTCGCTGTTCCCTTCAGCCAGTCCTGTGCCACGTCCTCTTAGATTCGATACGCTGCATTCCCTTCCCCCCCTCCCCCTCCTCCCTTTGGCCTTCCTGATTCCTCCCTTTCGCCCCATTTATCAGTAGGTTTGATGTAAACATGATAAAAAACAAGCGGTTTTGAGTCAGGGAAAAAAAAACACTGGAATCTAACGTGCCTGGATCTGCGTGAAGTTTTGCACGTGCTCTTCGTCTAAA